TCAGCAGCTGCTGATGTCCAAAGTAATGCACAAGTGAGAAAAGCTTTGGCACAGGGTCACACAGTTGGGGTTAAGTGTCTTGCACAGGGATCCAGCAGTGATTGATGACTCTGCCAGCCATGGGACCTAAAACCATGACCTTCTGGACACAGGCAGGGATTCCTTTCCAGCTGAGCACCTCAGCAACTCCCCACCACTATATTGGCTTATATATCGTCAAGATAGCAGTTATGTTATGCTACCTCTGCGTGTGAAGGCTGTTCTGGCTCAGAGTGTCTTCTCTTCAGTTCATCAATCTCCTGCTCCAGTCTCTCCATGTATCCTTCAGCCTGACTCACTGCAGCCTTCATCTGATCTATGATCAGCTTTGTCACCTCAGAGCGTCTTCTCTCAATGGAGCTTATCATCTCAGTGAAGATCTTCTCACTGTCCTCCACTGCTGACTGTGCTGAGCTCTGTTGGTGACACAGGGAGCAGAGGACGGTAAATTACAATTGGCCCCTTTTGAGAATCCAGAGAGCCTCATTGTACAATAGTGATGTGAGCCGACAGGAGGTATAAAAACAGCACAGGGCTGGGGTTTGGAGCGTCACCATGCTGGATGCCTCAGGTACTGAAACCCAGCCAACACTGATTGGAAATGATCACTCATTAAGCTCATACACTGTCAGCTGCAGGGATTTGGCAGAGACTGGTGGCTGTATGGGGCAGGTTGGTTGTCACCATTGGGTTTCAGTTTAATAGGTGACTTTTTGGGGTTTCTTTGCATTACACAGGTGTATGAAAAGTTACCTTTTATTACGAGAATAGTATTTAAGGGCCATTTGAGAAAGACTTTAGTTCAACCTCCATGCCTGGTGCCATTGTCCCACCCCTGTAGGAGATCCCTGATTCATTATAACCCACAGTGATCTTACATTAATTAAATCTTAAAGGACACAAATCATCCATCTGAGGAAGAGCTTTGATTCAAGCCTGAAATGATTTTTGCAAGCCAACTGTAATCTTTTCTTCAGGTTCATACTCAGGATCTTGGGAAGTTCGGGAAAATGACTGTTAAAAAATCTTCATCCTGGTGTAAAACTATATTTATATTTATATAAATATATTATATTTATAACTATTTCATATTTGTCAAAGAATGTCCTAACCATTGCAATACCTCTCTTAATGTCAACCCAACAGCAACCATGAGCAGCCATCCAATACACCCATGACCCAAACAGAGCCCCACCTCATATGGCTTATCAATACTTCATTAAGTTATTTAATCAATCAATCAATTAATCAGGAATTATATAAGAATACTTCTGGCCTGACCTGTTTCTCTGCCCTTCCTGCAGCAGCTGAAACTGTATCATGGCCTTTATGTTCATCCATCACACACAGCAGACAGATACACTGCTGGTCGGTACGGCAGTAGACCTCCAGGGGTTTGTCATGGTGGGAACAGACCTTGTCCTGCAGACGTCCAGTGGCATCAGCCAGCTTGTGCTTCTTAAAAGCTGGAGACTCATAGTGAGGCTGGAGGTGAGTTTCACAGTAAGAGGCCAGACACACCAGGCAGGACTTGACAGCTTTGTGTTTTATCCCAGTACAGAAATCACATTCCACATCTCCAGGTCCAGCATAATGGTCAGCAGGAGTAGCTGCTTGTAGTCCAGTCTTCTTCAGTTTCTCTACCACTTCAGCCAGTATGATGTTTCTGCCCAGAACAGGTCTGGGAATGAAGGTCTCTCTGCACTGGGGGCAGCTGTAAACTGCAAGACGATCCTCCTGATCCCAGCAGCTCTTAATGCATCTCATACAGTAACTGTGTCTACAGGGAATAGTCACCGGATCCTTCAGTAGATCCAGACAGATCGGACAGCTTAACTGGTTCTGATTCCCTGTGATACTGGCTTCTGCCATTTTACCACGAACACTGATAGGATTCAGTTTAGTTTTCTGTGTGTGAGAGTGGGAGGAGCTTCCTGCTTCTCAGGCTGCAGTAGGTGTGGTTTTAGACTGAGGCCAGACTGAGAAGAGCAGTTAGATCAAACTCCACCTTCGTGTCTTAGGAAGGAGAGTGTAAAGCATATTACACAGGTCCTTAAATCACTGCACTGGGTTCCTGTGCATCACAGGATTGATATTAAAATATTACTTGTGTACAAAGCATCAAATGGTCTCAGGCCAGTATTTAATTGCAAAATATATTATATAGGCTATGTGTCACACCGGGTAGATAAGGGAGACACGG